CACATAATCATATTGTTTATTACAGCTTTCTATCATTATCTATATACAGTAGAGCGTCGATTATCTGAATGTCGATTAACTGAAACATTGGTTAACCGAAAGCGTTCCAGTGGGACTGTGTCGTGCTGAATTGAACATTCTTGACACTAGATTAACTTCTAAAGTATAATTTTTTTTTGTTTTTATATTTTTCAATATATTTATTTTATTTGTACAAAATAAGAAAATAATTTTTAACAATACAATAGCCACAATTATTATTATTATAAAAATTTTCGTCAGCTTAACATCAATGAAAATTCAACACAAAGCCACATGCAATGGAGAAAAATATAAACATGGGATATATTAATATACTATTATTGGGATATACTAATCTCTACTATATTAATAATGTATCTTTTCATACATAATCAGTTATCCGAAAAATTGATTTTCCGAACAACTCCAGTCCCCAATTGATTCGGATAATCGACGCTCTACTGTATTATTTATAACCAAAGCAAATACAGTTTGTTTTCGTTATGATCATTTCCTGTGATATAAAAAGTAAACATTAATGTATTTCTTTTTTAAAAAAGTAAAGCTATAAATAAGTTTGAGATATTGTTTGGTGGAACTTTTTCTGTCAGTTTTATAGTAGCAAAATCATTTATAAAAGTTCATTTTTATTATCAGTTTTCTATTTAATATATGTGTTTAACATTTCAATCATGTTCATGACAGAAATACTGCAAGTGGTCACATGCCATCTGTGAGAAGCCAGTTTTTAATTAAAAATTGTAAAAAATTATAATTGTGTATAAAGATGAATAAAAATTTCATTTCTATCATTGTTGACACTTCTATCAATATAAAAAATTTGTGTATTGATTGGATTATTAATTTTATAAATATTTTATATTTGTAACAAGCGATTATTTATTGTGACATCGTCACAGTGCTGAGCTGCAATTTTTAATCATAGTTTAAGTTATTTTTTTTAATTTAAAATATATTCTCTTTGCCTCAAATTAGTAGTGTCTTGCCCCTGTACGTCATACTTTTTCCTTAGCAATAGAGTCGTGCTAGTTATTTATCTAACTTTCAGGGGAAAATTTTTTTAATTGAAATAATGTGACTTCCAGTTTGCACTCAAAGTTTGTGTATAGTTAATTGGGTCTTCCTGCCTCTAATCTTTCCATGTTTGCTTTCATCTCCATTCTCGCTTTCATCTCCATTCTCAAGATTAAGGAAAGACAGACAACAACAGTGGGAATTTATAGGTCTACAATTTTTCCAAATTGCAGCCCAATATGATCCAAAAATATAGACAAATAAACAAATTAAATTTAAATCTGTCATTATTTTTCTCAAGTTGATCCTTCAGGCCACATTGTAGTCTGAAGGGTCTTTATTTCTAGGAAGGGAGTGATTCTTTTCAGTAATTTTTTAAAATTTTGACATGCTTGGCATGTCAAAATTTTCCTGCATTATTATTAATCTCAATTTTTCTGCTCGAGCAGTTTATACAGCTGGAGCATCTGAGCACTGGAATGCCTTTTTCTAACTCTGTCATTTGCTCTGACTTTGAGAGTTATATAACTTTGTCCATCTTTCAGGTTGTCGATCAGTTTTATTCTTGTTCTTCCTCTTTTCTTTATTGCATCTACTGTAATTTCCTGCAGTGTCCTAAGCAGGCAGTCTTCTCAACACAAGCCCCAGTCATTTTCTTTTTCTTTTCCTGATTTCCTTTAATATTTCCATTTTCTTCTCCAACTTGTTTCGAAACAACTTCATTTCTGAGCTTATCTGTCCAGCTAATCTTTTGTATTTTTCTCCAAGCTCACATCTCAAATGCTCTGTCTCATTGTCCATGTTTCTGCTCCGTGTAGTAGTATACTCCAAACATAGTACTTCACTAATTGCTTTCTTAATGCTATGTTTAATGGTCCACTTGACAGTTTTCTCTTTCTAATGAATGCGTACTTTGCCGTTGCTATTCTCTTTTTTATCTTCCCTTCACTTCTTCCTTCGTCACTTATCCAGGGAATTTGGTACTGGAACCCCTTTAATTGCTCTGCTTCTTGTCCATTTATCTGTAATGATCTTTCACTAGCCACATCACTTGTTTTATTTGTACTGATTTTCATCTCTTCCCTCTTCCACAGATTTCATTGATTTATTTAGTGTTCTTGCATCCTTTCATCACAGCCATATCATCTGTAAGATGGATGCAGTTTACAATTGTTCCCCAATCTTAACACTGTTACTTTGATTCATTGATTTATTAATTATTTTTTCGAGATATATATTGAATAGGATGGGTACATGCAACATCGTTGTCTAACTTCTTTAGTGATTGAAACCTTTTCTGTTTCATTTACCTTCACTCTTATTATCACTCATTGTTCATTATATAGATTCCATATTAGCCTTTTCTCTTTTCAATCAACTTTTTTATCTTGTGTTTCCATCAATTTTGGTTATATTATGCAATCAGGTCCACAATATATATAAGGTCCACAAGAGATATATATATATATATATATATATTATATATCAGGTACAAAGTCCAACTATTTCTTTAATACTTTCATCAACCATATCTTTGAACATTTCTATTGTGTTTCTAGTCAATAACATGTAATTGAGTCTCACAGCTATACTGTTCTTCATCTCTGTTATTGCTTTTACTACTTCCTTTTCAGTATTTTTAAACTTATTATATTGTCTTCAATCTCACTTTCATCTTCTAATCTCCAATTTCCCTCATCCAGCTTCTTTTCATACAGCTCCATAAGATTCTTTCCATCATCTTAAAACACCTTTGTTGTCATCTACTTTTCTCATTTTTGTCATTATCTCAATATTACTTCTCACTTTCCTTTCCCAATCCATGATTTTGATTCTGTCATACATTATATCTTCTATTTTCTGTAGCTTCTCCTTGCACTCTTCTTCTAGCCATGTTTTCCTTGCTTGGTTAGTTATTTTCTTTAATTTATTATTGAGATCTCTATGTTCTTTTGTCCTATTTTACTATTATCATTTTTCCATCTTTGATAAGGAAAATGGAAGAAAGACATTCTTTGCGTGATCCATGGTTTCTTAGCTTTTTTAGTTCTTGTTATTCCTATTACACACCTAGCAGCTTCTATTAATTTCTCCTTAATTCTGGACCATTTTTCATCTGCATTGTTTATGAACATAAATTTCTGTTAATTGTTGCTCTCACATTTTCATATGTTTGGCCAAAATAGCCTTTCTTTAAGCTTATAAATATAGCATATTTCATTGCTCTATTCTTTTGATTCTTTTGAGTTTTATTATTATTATTTTTTTTCTAAATTATGGTTAGAGTCAATGTCAGCCCCTGGGTTGCAGCCGCACATTCTTAATACAGTTTCTATTGATCCATTATAAGAATTTAATCTATCTGGTATTGTTTTTTGTTTCCAGGTGTCTTTCAGGTGTAAAGTCTTCTTTTATGGTTTTTAAACCAGGTATTGTGCTTCATGTAGACTAGGGAGTTGAATAGAGCATGATAGTCTCTGCTTGCTTTTCATATTTAGCTCTTCAGTTTTATCATCAGTGGGAAGCCTGTCCATTGTTAAACCCCCAACCTGAAGAACCAGGGTATCCCTCTTTGTCTCTCCTATCATTTTTGACCTGTCCAGCTTGGGTGACCCTTCTGGTAGACAATCTACCACTGGCATAGCTTTCTCTGGATCATTTAGGAATGCAAGGCCTTCCCGTTATGTCAAAGTAGGGTCAACATTGAGAGGGGGTTCCTTCATTAGCACTAAATAATTAAACAATGATTTAACATATTATATATGCAAGTGTAGTATGAAGTAATCCGCTTATCAACTCCTTTTCAAACTTTTATCAACCTGAAAAGTTAGATACTGACTCTGTTGTACTGCATATGGTTGTTATTTCTGTATGAATATTGCACAGTTAATATGCATTGTGGAAAATCACAAAAACTTTTTTACATCTTTAATTTAGAAGATAATGAAAAGGCTTTCTTACTTTTAAAATTGAGTTTGAATAATATACACTTCATTTTAAGATTTAAAATAACAAATGTTCTTCTTAATGCCCATGGGGCAAAAAGAGTTAATCAACAGTAATAATATGTGATACATCCAGAAATTAAGTTCTTATTACCACTCCCAACTGGTTGTTAGCTGCCTATTGTTGACTTGGAGATCAAGCAGATGGTAACTTGCACATTTTAAATTTTCATTCTTTGGATTTGGGTTTATAATTGTGCATTTAAATGCCTGCTGAAGTAAACTTTCTCTCTTTGTGAGATATGCATAGTAATCAAATTTTGAATGCAAAAATATTGTAGAGCTTGTTCATAAGAAAGTTTCTGTTTCTTTCCATGTAATTTCTGGATGTGCCACATATTAGAGAGGTTGCAGCCAACATTTTCATTGCGAAAATGTGAATGTCGGACATTTAGTGCCACTTTCCTGTAAGCCTAGAAGTTTGACAATGGCATTTGGAACATCGAGCATGATTCCACTGATGTTTCAAATGCCATTGTCAAACTTTTAGGCTTACAGGAAAGCGGTGCTAAACATTCGACGTTCACATTTTCGCAATGGAAACGTTGGCCACAACCTCTCTATTAAAACAAGTCTAACATGCAGGATTTTTGTGAAATTTATCATTGCATTTTGCACAAGATATTGTTGCATGTTATTTTAAATTATTCATACTTAATGTATACTCATTCATTTTATGAACTCTGAAAAAAAAAAAAACATTCTTGAGATTTTAAGTCATCTGCATCTTAATAGAATTTATAATTCATTTAATGTTTATCTTTGTTATGCTTATATTGTTGAAAATATCTGTTAAAAATGGTTATAGTACTCATATCCAGTGTAGTATAGTATAATTATAGGTAAAATCTTAATGTGTTAAAATTTACTGTAATTCATTAACAGTATATAAGATTGCTGGATTGTTTAATATCAATAATTATTATAATTTTTTTTTAGATAATACAGAGCTGAAATTTGGAGGACTTGTCAGTACATCCAACACCTACAAACAAGATACAAATTATGTGATTGTTGAAACTAGTGATGATTTAATATGGACAATGGAAACAAATTAACTTAATTAGTGATATTTTGTTACTTAAGAGTTAGATACAGTATTAATAATATCAGGATTATTTACATTATTAACTTGCATATAAATAATACTTAATTATATTAAGAATTTTATAAGGATATGGTTTTTGTATGCACGTTAAATGCAAATAAATTATAAAATATTTTGTTTAATTTCTGAACTTTTTTGCAGTAAATTGTACATTTTACATTTGGTATAGTCATAAATTTGTTTAAATATCAGTAATTGATTGGATGAGTGATACAGTCAAAGTGTGTCTTATGTTTGAATTCTTAATTTTTTTTTTATGCGGTTTCTCTCTCCTCACTGCTTCAATTTCTTCACATGAAAACTTTTCTAATCCTGTAAATACTTTATTTTTATGATTTCATTGGTATTTTTTTTTTTATTTGATTTGGTGGTTCAATTTTCCACTTGAAAACTCAAGTTCAAATGATGATGAATAGAAAAATGCCAATTAGAATAAATGTTTCTTTAAGTAATTTTAATAAATCCAAATTGGATAGTTTCTCTTGCCTTATTTGAACCATCAGATCCAAAAAAAGTACCAATGCATCATAAAAATAAAGTACAGTACATATATACAGGATTAGAAGTATGTCTTATTTTGAGGAACTTGAATTTGAATCCAGATTGGATCTTTAGGAATTTTTCAGCTTATTTGGCCTCCATCTCTCGTTGGTCTCCACCTCTTTACAAGAATTTGGCAAGCTACTTTTAACATTTGGAGCTCCCCGTTAAAAGCCTGCACCCGCAATGTGCGGCTCAAGCTCTAGTATGTTAAAAAAAAATCTAATTCACACAACATAGAATTTTAAAAAGGTATTCCATAATTCATTGATAAAAAATGTAAATTATAATTTTTCCCCATTCGGCATGGTATGAGATTTGTATCTTTAAATCAGGATTATTGTCAAAACAATAACTGTGAAACATAGGGATGGTTTTTTAGTAATCAATATAAACACTAGTGTGTTTTAGATTACAGGGTGATCTCAGATTTATACAATAACCACTTAAAATTGAAACCTTGTGGATAATTATTGCATTTAGAGAAATGTTTTATTCAATATCATAGTTCTTTTTTACAATATGCATTTTGGTTGAATAACTAGTTTGGACCTCTTCAATTGTATTTAAAAAAAAATTTTTAAATGTAAGTTACAATTTATAAATTATTATAAGGGGTATTCTTACACAAAGAAATTTTTAATGATTAGTTACAATTAAACTGTTAGCCAAAAAATTTTTATATGTAGTCTTATTAAGTTTTAAATACATCGCACTAACTTTATAATGCATTATGTACAACCCGTCGTTATAACGGTCAACACAGGCGCACATTTTTAGAAATTTTAAAAAGTGAATTTGAAATTAGAATGCATAAGAAACTAAATAGAACACTAATCACACGAGAGAGAATTTTTCTAGAACTCCACTTGAAGGAGGTCCTAGGGAGGACCGAGAACGTTTGTATTACGTTCGAAAATAGCTGCAAAGCATAAGGTTAGTGCGGTGTATTTATAATTAAAGCTTTGTTTATTGCAGGGATTTTATTCTTAAGTTTTTAAATAATGTTTTTAAGTTCTTTTATTTACTAGGTTAGATAAATAATAATTTTATTTTATAGTTTTTTTACTAAATATTAAAAAAAATGTATATTTTGGATTTTCGTTAATTTTTAAAAGATATATTCTACAAGTTTTACAAGATTATTGGTAAAAACTGTAATCCTCATCGTGTAGTTAAACTGTACTAGAAAGCAAAGATGTAGCGTCAATCACTATTTTTCAAGCGGGCCCCGTGCTATCGAGAGCTTGTATGGAGCCTGGTATATTGCGACCACTTTAGCCACTTTTTCTTTGAATAAAATACATAAAATGTTTTTTTCTTAATAAAAAGCAATCTGAAAGATTTTATTTTCTACTAGCGGATGATTCTGGCGTTGCTCGGACAAAAACTAACGATAGCAAAGATTAAGATTATTAGATTATAGCCGATCTTACCCGTTTTCACCGAGTGCAAGAATTAGGTCCCCCCTCTTCCGAGACTAACTTGTAAGTAGAAAATTTTTAGATATCTGCTTACAATACCGATATAACGATAAATAAGACTCACTGCAACCACTAACCGGTGCATAGTACCACTAAGTGATGAATAATAAAGGTTTTCGTAACTCTTGCTGGGTTCTTCATTTTTATTACATTCGAAAAATAAGCAGGATCTTCCAGAATTATTTATGAATATAAATTTGAACATAAAATCAAACATTAAGACGAAGAGTTCAAATAAAGCGAACTTATGCGCATTGAGCTCCCCGTGTCAACTTTAAATACGATGGAACACTAAATATCGTTGACAATTTTTAGAAGGTTCTAAAAATGTGTTTCATATCCAGCATAATGCAAAAAGCATTTAAAATAGTACAGTAAAGCCGAGTTCTTCGGGGTAATCCTTAACCCTTTCCCTCTCCCCAGCGAGGAGAATTTCTACGCGATCGTAATTCTAAATTTTCATTAAATTAACAATTACAATTTTCAATTTTTACTTATGGATGTCCTTTTGTTATTTTGTTTTTACTGGCGTATCCTGGACCCATAACCTGTTATGTTTGAAGGATCGACAAGACTGCGTTTAATCCATTTTTAAATTTTTATTAACTGTCAATATTACAGAACAACCACGTGATCCTTATACACAGTGTTGGCAAAGGCCTTACATACAAAATTTTATAATTATTATTATTTTCTTTCAAATTAACAAGCAGAACCACGATTCTCTGGATTATATCCACATGACAATAATTGTTCTGTTTCTGATGGTACTATTACTCCTAGGAGAATTTATTCCTCTTGCGTATGAGAATCCAGTCTACTCTGGATTCCTATAATCCTGTAAGATTTGATGAGGCAAATCAGATGAAGTAATTGCTAGACTATGACAACCGTGATGGTCAGTTGTTGACAAATAAACAACTGATGGTGGTCTAATTTCAGCAGCTGCTTCCAATCCTGCATCTTGGTTTTGCAGCATATGAGGAGTTAAATATTGCATCCTCTGTCCAGAACTGGAAACCTGTCCCAAAGCATAGGAGGTCAATGAGAATTTCTTGCTCTTACATTTTTTTCAGTTAGGGATGACAGCTGCTAGTTCAACTTATCCTGATTGCTACTAGTTGAGCTAACTGTCAAGTATTTTGTAAAACAAAAAGATTCAGAATTTGCTGAATATGCAAGATTTACTCTCGGAGAATGAAATGAAAGACTATGACGATTATGCCGTCCTTGCTCGGACAAAGACAGCATTACACATAGCACAGTTTCATTCTCTTTACCTCTTGGGGCCTCGCTGGCTGTGATTAACGGTTTTATGTTCAGAGAAGCCCATCTAATTTTCGAAGTCTCTGCCCATTTCCTGCATTCCAGATTACAGCCGCTCTTTCATGTCCAGTACATGCCAAAATGCAGTTTTCATTATTCGAATGTAGGAAGAGACTCGATTTACAGATGTGTACCCTGTATGAGTAACTTCGGACAAACGACGAGACACTAAGACATAACCAGTTTTTGGTTCGTAGCTTAAGGAAGTGAAATTACCTTTTAACGGTAATAGATGACGCTTGTAATTATATTCATTTTTCATTTCGTAAGCACAGCAAGTGGAAAAACTGTTCACTTAAATTGTTCACTAGTCTAACAATCTCTCTATATATTGAAGATTTATAACGGGTGATCTCAATCCATGTGTAGAAAGTTGACGTGCAAAGCGATTGGCCATCCTTAAATCAAATTGAATAATATTACCATTTTTTTTTTTTTTATT